ATCGTCAAAAAATAAAACGGTCACTTTAGGACGTAATGTCTCGACACCCAGTGATCAAATTCGAACACAAATACTACCATTCGATTGATCTCGACCAACTGAGTCAAATGATAGTATTTTCGCTCAAATCTGAACACTAGACATCAAGATCTTACCTCCTAAAGCGACTGTTTCATTATATTTAGAGCGTGAAAGTTTAACATAAAACGCCCCGATGTAGAAATTATACCAACTTTAAAAGGCGTAAATGAACAGCATTTGTGTTATTCTTTTTTAGGATGATACGCATGATCTATAAAAAGTTAGGGGCGTTCGGATACTTATGACCGCTACTGTAATTCTTAATCAATTTTATATTGATACAAGAATACGGTATTTAACTTTATTATATAATTAAAGTGATTGTGGTTACTTTACATTTTATATCCCGCTTTTATACATAGTATTTTACACGTGATCCAAAAAGGAAAAGTAATTTTTAGAGACTTGCAGATTTACGATTAGTATAGCTTATGTCGAATTTGAATTGGTGTCCTTGAAGATGTGCTCGTACGGTCACAGCGTTATCTCCATCGAATACAATTTTGGTATTTCTATTAATTAAAATAAATATAAATATAAATTTGTATTGAAATGTTGCCTTGTTTAAAGAAATAAAACTAAGTCAAATACTTACGCCAAAATTATGTTATCAGTGATAATCTATTTTTTTATAATGCTGTTAATTTTGTGTGTATATGCGTGTAGCTTGAAACTGATCAATAAACTTACATCTCCGATTTGAAGATCTGAAAAGATTCCGACCCAAAAAGTAGGTGTGACCTTGAATGCTGCTAATGCATCAACGTATACTTTTTTCTGTTATATTATAATGAAGTTTAGTAATTATTGCTTTTGCAGTTTAGCGGATTCATTGATTTTTACCTTGATTGCTGATAATCTTCCAGACATACCAATACCCAGAGAAGCAGTGTTTTTCGATGAATTTCTTATAGTGATAAGATTGTCGGCTCCTGAGTATCCAACCTTTTTGCTAAATTGTGAGACTTTCTCCTATTTAATATCCAAAAAAGCAAAATGTTGAATCCTGAATGTTGCTGTCGAAAAGAAAAACCGTATTAAAAAGGAATAAAAACGATTTACACTGTCCACGAGTGTCCAAGCAGCTCCCAACTTAGTATCATAAGTTTGGCTTGCCATATAACGACCTTTTTGGTTGTCGTCATAATAATCCGCATTCACCACACAATATGTTTCATAGAATTTTACACCAGCTGTTCCAGATTCTGGTACATCTGCTCGCAGCCACGCGACCGAGTCTATTCCTGGGGTATTAGCATATCTATGTTAACAAAGTCATGTTAAACGCGAATGCAAAAGTTTTGTTTTTAGTGTTTGTTTCATTGTATAAAGATAAAGTTTTTCGCGAAAAGAAACTCACGTTTGATATACACCAAAGGTGAGTGTATCGTCAGGCACGTCGTTAATAAAATCAATGAAATATTCAGACATATCTGATGATTTATTTGATAAGAATTTGTTTTTTTTTTTTTTAATAGAAAGTACGCTTCTTGTGTCCGCATAAAATTCACAAGTAAAGCATTTATACCACAAAAAAATCTTGTAATTCACTCTTTGATCATGCACGTATAATTCCACCAATAATATCTTGAACCTTAGCGTAAAAATTGTTTTCGAAATTCAAGCCACAATTGAAATATTTGAAAAGGTGCTACCATCAAAGATGATACAAAAGAAATCAACATTGTTCTCCGAGAACAAAGTCATGCATTTTTAGTTCTTTACTAAAAATTGATTTACCGCTTTTTTGTGTTAGTGTTTGATATTATATAATCATTATTTAAAAATGCTGTAGATCTCCCATGTCGTCCCGACTCTAATTTAGAAAATCATTCGATTTCAAAGAGCTCAACACAACGATAAACTTGGAAAAAGCTGTAGATCGTCACACCGAATCCAATTTGGAACGTCCAAAGTATCACATTCAACGCCGGAATTCTTGTTTAAGAATTACATGTATGATGTGATGTAGAAAACCGATATCTGTATGTGATTTCAGTGTTGAATCAAATCTCAGTCCTTGCTGGATTTAATAATTGAAATCGGAATAATGAATGGGATATATATTCAAAGAAAATTTATTTACAGGACAACATAAAAATACGCATGCAAATTTTAAATTCGAAAGGTCAAAATATTATAATTCGCATCAACTTTATTCGATTGAATAGTTCATGCATTTCTCACTAAAAATTCTTAATTCTCTTAAATTATTCATAAATCTAAAAGAAGCGAAACTATAATAATAAATTAAGAGTTAAGCTTATCGTTATGCACCATTCTAATTATATATATAACTTTACATGGAATATAGATATAGATGTATATACAGTGTATATCGATATTCATGCAAATTAATGTTAATTCCGAACATCTATACACATGCGCAGAATTCGCAAAATATATGAATTCATCACCTAAACATTATTTTCCGTCGTTTCTTAAAGATAATATAGGAAATAAAAACGCACTTGTAGAGTTAATCACAAGTCAAAATTAAAAATCTACATATATTTTAATCACTGATAATCAAAAAACTTTGAAATCCAAGTTTCAAAGAACATGATTTACTATAGAGTTTAGACTTAAAGTGACACGAGTTCAATTATTACTGGAAAGCAATTTGAATCGATAAATTACGTATTAGATTAACGACGATAAATTTATAACCCTTAGTTCGCCGTTAGCAATGCATCGATAAATTAATAGGAACTAATTTAATACACATAATACATGCGCAAATGTTTGTTTTAATTAATAGAATCAATTATTTAAAGCAAAGTATTTGATCTGTATAGTTTATGGCGAAACAAATGCTTGCAACAGCATTTTCATATTACGTAAACACAACTCTTGAGCTGTTTTCTGAGTTTATTATCGTCATATACAATACAGTAGTTAAAGTAAACATTATTGTTAGATGAAGTGAAACTTATATATAAATAATAGCTTGCATGGATTAAAAAAAAACAATTATTCTTGTCTTCTTAATTATATAAAATGACAAGCGATTTAAGAGGATCGAAGAACCTATTGAAGACGAAGTAATCAACGCTAACGCTTATCGTTATAGGGGATCTAAAGTAGCACATAAGTCAATCATACTAGATGAAAAGAATTGGCTGTTACCAGTTGGCAGGAAGACTGCTAACGGGTTAATTCCAGCTGACGTGATTGCGGAAAATTCAATGTTTTCGTTGTATATAATTTGTCCGTGTAAATTATTATTGCTATATTTTATTTTTTTCCCAGTATGTGATCAATACAAACCAAAAACCAGGATACAGGTAACTTAAATGTTTTAGATTTTGGAAATATTGTTAGATTAATGTTTTTATTACTTTGTAGGCCGCTTTTTCATTCAATTCAATCAAAGCATATGGAATAAATCGCCGACAATCAAAGCATTCAAAACATTGCTTGAAATATACTACCTAAAAAAGAAATTGATGGATTTATCCAAGCAATTTATCGTACAAAACAATTCAATACGTTTTTAAGGTTTAATTTAAATAGATATTTTTTATTTAAAAAGAAAACTTAAATAATCTTTATTCTATTTATTAAGATTCTCTCAAAACGAGGAATGTTTAGAGAAAAAATAAAAATCAGGACAAAAACTCAGCAAGCAGCTGAATTTAAAAGATTCTTTAGAGATTTTAGTTCCTTTCACCTTATCAAGAGACCCACCTTATTCATTAGTGAAAAAAATATGACTGAAACTAAATATGCTGGTAATAAAAATATTCACATTTTGAAATTATTATTTACAAAAATTCCAAACTATTGTTTTATTTTTTAAACAGGTCTTCATAATTGGCTTAGTTATGCTTATATTGAGAATATTGGGAGGCTTGTTTATGACGGATATATCAAAAAATTGAGTTTTAATTCAATTTTAAATTCTTCAATTGTAAATTTATTTACAAAAAACATATTTTCTTTTTTATTTCTAGCCAAGTTGAAGTTAGTTTCCATTATTAGCGTTAGCGTTAGCTAGCGTTAGTAACTAAAAAAAATAAATAATGAATCTTTCTCGGAGATAACACTGAATTTTTAAAATAAAGCTAAGCTTAGAAATATGTCAGCAGATCCTTTGGATGATGACTTTGACAGTGATTATGATGACACATATTTAGCAAAGTGTACAAAATTTCATAAAATGACTTTTGAAAATGACCTGAAAACGAAAAAAGAACGTATGAATACTATAGCAAAAATGAAGAATTTTTATTTTTTAAAACCAAAGTAATTAATTAATTTAATCAATTTGTATATAATCACTTTAGCTTTAGAATTACAGACGAAGAAACTTGAAGAGTTTACCGATGGAGTTAGTAAAATTCAACAGCTTGTAACATTTAATACATATGAAGAAAAAGATCCGAAAATTTAACATCCGAAAAACACAGAGAAAACACGAATATTCCTCTTCCCGTCTAACAGGCAGGAACTAGATAAGGTTTATCCTTCGAATCTCATTTCTGAAGAATTTCAGAAATTATACAAGTCGCTTATAACCAATTTTTTTTCGTGGCTACAAATTAATTAATGTAAGTCTATTTGTGTTTTATTAATTTAAATACGCACAATTCTTATTTTCTTTTATATTAATCTTTATATTATAAAAATTTTTATGATCATAATATAGCCGCCAAAAATAGAACCAGATAAAAACAAGAAACTAGAGCTGAAACAAATTTTAGACTATTACATCAACGAGAGACTCCTGAATGAGCTTGCAAAAGAAAACATAAGAAGCATCAGGGATCTCATCATTTTCGACTATATACACAACAATAATGAAGGTAGCAATCACAAAGTCATTGCTTGGAAAACTAAACACTCAAAAACAAAGTGACGTTATCTATCTAGCTGGTAATTTTCGAGGATTGATTGGTTCATGGTCTAAATAATGATCTGTCAACTTCTAACATCGCAAATCTTGTATTTGATAAGGCATTCACGAATTGAAAGAATTACAATTTAGTGTTTTGGCTTTTATTAAGTTAAACCTTAATTCAAACCTGTTTCTATTTTATAATGAAGTTTTTTATATGATATACATGTAAATTTTTCGTGATATTATTTTTTATCATTTGATCACGTAAAATGAAAAATAAAAACTGATACAGTTAAGTGCACCCTCTATAAATGCACGCACTACTATATAAATTTTCTCTAAATGCACGCTATGGCTCAGTCCCAAACTTATAAGACATCTAATTATTTACTCTCTATAATTGCACGCACTCTCTAAATGCACATTTTGTCATTTTTTTACTAGGATCCGGGGGTTGCACTTAAGGAGAGGTAGCTGAACGAAATTTTGTTCATTTTTTGAGTCGAAGTGATTATTTTTTTCTATTCCTATCAGCGAAAAGATTTACACCAATTTGAATCGTTCAGAGTTCGTTTATAAATCTAAATTAAAGTACACCTGCTTTTGATGTAGAGTATCTTCTAGATTGTAATTTTGTATATTACAAAAAAGACAAATTTTATTATATACTTATTTTATAATTACAAGTTTTTAAATTAAATATGGTTATAATATAATAATAATAGGCGCATACCAGTTTTACATATATCTCATTTAAATTAAAATAAAATTATTTTGTCAATTCGCATTTTTAAATTTCTTAGACGTGTCTTAGTATATTGTATGACCCCCCATTATGCGCAGAAAGAATTACGTACATGTACGATGTGTAGGATATCAGAAAAAAGGCACCGTGACAATCGCTCCATTTAGGTTGCGCAGAATTTGTTGCCGCATATTTTTCCGTGCAGTTATCTGAATTTTACTATTTGGACCAGTAGCTTTTATGACACATCTATTTAGTAGAGAAAAATTTGAAGAGTTTTATAATAAATTTAACCTTTTATAGCATAACAATAAAAAATTTATCAATATAAATCCATATCACTTTTTTACTACACGCAATGAAATTTTTTGTCTTTATATCATCGTTTCATGAAGTGTCCGCGTACCGGCTTTCTTTACTTTTGATCCAAAATTTATCATGAAAACTTATTTTTGTTCGCGTGAATTTGAATTTGAATTTGAATTAAAATTTCAAAATCCCGGTTGGTGGACTCGGCTGGGATATGAAAACTGAAAAAGTAACTTTATATTTATGACTTTGTCATAGTTTATATGTACCGTATTCAACTGCATGTATCACTATCTAAACCCGATGTGATTATTAGATTTACATCTCACACTAGCGCTCGTGATACCAGATTCGAATATTAGCGTTAGAGAAAACAATTATATAAATAGTTCAGGGATTCTATTTGAAAAATCAAGAATTATAAAAAAAATGGCAGCTAATAACGAGGCAGAATATACAAAAAAATTCGCATGTGACATAGTATGTGATCCCGACGACAAAGCTACTAAGAAACCCGTGGATCTTGGACTGACGTACAGTAATGGAGCTGCATTAATAATTAAATGGTTGACAATGAATCCAGAAGGTATTGGAACGTTACCAGATAAAAAAGGTATTAATTTTTTGAGACAATATTTTTTGATTTTCAAAAGTGTGGTTTAATTATGAGATATAAATGATAGAGAACCAGCAATTTGCCGCACAAGTGAACAAGATCCATGATGAAGTACAAAATGGTTGGACATATGAAGGAGAATTTACAAACTATGAAAAATTAAATACAGGACATACTTCCAAAGCGCTCTTTGGGAAACTTAAAGTAAATTGTTCTTCTTTCAATCCTTTGAAAAATTATTCTTTCAATCCTTTGAGAGTAGACGAATATTCAAATAATGTATGTTTCATTTTTCATTTTCTAATTTCACTTATTTAAGATTACTTAAATCAACTTTACTAATTAACATTGAAACTAGTTTAATGAAATTAGACTTCCACCTAAGGATCAATATGAACTAAAATGCATTCTAGACAGAATAATCAATCTAGCATCTGAGGACAGAGATGTCAAAGGTTTTATTACAATCAATTACTATAAAAAGGGCGGTAAGGCGCCTCAGATTCAGGCAAAATACGTCGGTTTTTATGTTAATAAGAAAACAGCAACCATAACTCTTCTTGGTCAACAATCTGGTTTATTTGAATATAAACCGGTAAATGGTCTCGATAATGATATGACGACTTCCTTTCTTGCATTGATTGTGCTGAAAGAAGTATTTGTGTTCGATTATCAACACGAGACTAAAAATTTTGCAGGATTAACTGTTAGTGCTGGTTATAGTAATGGATAAATATTACTTTCATTGTATATTTAGATTCATGTACTAGTTTTTTTTTAGCTATCTTTTATATCTGCAGTTTTTGATTTTATATCGTGTTATTACATTTGGTATCTGGTATCATAATTTTCTAGTATTAGAAAATAAAGTTTGGAGTTATCATTATCGCAACCAGTTTTGGATTCTGCTATTTGACGTAGTGATCGAAAAAATAATTATCTCATCACACATAATTGTCTCAATTTTATCTACACGAATATGAAATGTTCTATCTCGGACCTTCCTCATCCCGAAATACCAGCTTGATAATCATGAGCAATAGTATTTAACAATGAAATAAAAATTTATGAATAATTCATACAAAATTACCAAAACGTAAATATGTTTAAAAGTCAAATGTTTATTTACTGTAACTCCTCAAAGCTCATTGTTTAGTAAAATAATGGTATAATCAATAACCAATACTAAATTACGATTGCGGAGAAACAAACTTTTAAAATTAATATTGAATTTTTTGCTCCATTTATAACCGTCACAAACATTCATTATATTATTTTGATTAAAGATACACGAGTCTCAAAAATTAAAAAATGAAGAAACTAAATAAAAGATTCTGTAGAAGTTTGTTTACTGTGAGTAAAGAATAACCAGCTCAAACTAAAGATCTAGACACGTCAAATTACAATTTAATTTTTGGTGGATATTTTAATGAGTTTTTATTTATAACATCACAGTGTATCCAAACTAAACGATATTTGTTTTTCACTGGTCGAAAATGTCGAGGCAAAATAATGGCAGAAAATGATAAAGTTGCATTTTTACTATTATTTAACCTTGATATTAACCAGGTAAAAATAATACTTTTCGACCAGTGTTTATTACACTAGAAATAGTGAAAATAATATTACAAGAATTTTTAATGTCAAGTCAATTTTTTAATTTTGGGGAGCTTGATTAAAGTTAATAAAAACAGAAGCGGGATCGCGCATTGATCGCCGGATCTGTTCATTTATTCAGTTAGTGATATACGTAGTTCATGTATAGTACAGGAGATCTGTTGAGTGGCGGAGTAGGAAACACAAAAATTGCGGTTATTTGTAAATTAGGAAGGGAATACCGATACTACGTATACTATAATAACATCAATTTAAACTTTTATAAATAAACTAGAAATGTATTAAGCAAAAAGAATTCAAGTTAGTTATAGTTGATTCATTTCAAAAAGAAAGAATGGAGGAGATAAAGCCTCCTCGGGAGATATCGATAACGAAGCCTATTCCCAATATAATACCGATACCTCTCGATAGAATCCTTACTCCTGGTGATCTTAAAGCAGCAGTAGAAGAATTGATTAAACTTGATAAACCCAATTGGATAGCTACTTCCGCGGTATTGATTTATACGTTTTATTTTATATATTCACTTGTGATATCATTTTATATATGTGTTCTTTATATTTTTTCATGTCAGTATGCACTCAATTTACAAATCGCAAAAGCAAAAGGTACGTGAAATTTGGAGTTAATTAATGTAAAATACTTTTTATGCTTAACGTTAATAATACATAATCTTTTTCACTTATAGATTTAACAAGCAATGACTTGTTCGTAAGAAATATCAAAGATGAATGGAAGAGACCGACGTTCTCAACATTCAGAAATTTACTTGATAACTACTATGTCAAGCGTGGTGAGGCGGAGAAATTAAACCAAGATGAAATTGACAAGTTTATAAATGCTATTTATCTTACTCAACCTATTCAATATATTTTTAAGGTATGCATTATTTTTTTTATTAACAAACATAAACAATTATCTAAATAAGTTTTATTTATTGCAAGATCCTCGTAGCAATAAAAGACGAAGATCTGACCCCGGGCGCAACTCATTCACAAAAAGTATCTGCATTTAAACGTAAGCTTAACTCAATTTGGTTCACTTTGCGTTCTAGTGAACCAAACGGAGCTAACGATACAAGTCCTTTTGAACACATTTTTCTCGGAGAAACACACGCAGTAAACAGTCAGGATTCATCTCGTCCGCCAGCAGCATTAGGTAATAAGAAACATTTCCTCAGATTTTGTGAATTATAAAAATATATAATTTTTTTTATTCCTATAATAGCCTTTCATAATTGGCTTAACTTCAGCTATCTCCAAGAAATCAAAGGCAAACCAGTCTCAAAAGGCAAAATTATCTATTTGGGAATTAACACTGATAAACTCGTTGACTATAGAGTAAGTTTTAACTAGTTTTATGATAAAAATATCTTTAATATATATATATGCTGTATCAAAGAAAATATTGGTTTATTAGGCATCCCAAAAAGATCGCGTAATTCAAATTTCTCTTGGATATTTGCCAACGGGGGCAACCGACTACTCCCTTAAAATCCCATATTCCACTTGTTTTATGGGCACGACACCCGAATTCGAAATAGCTTTGTATACGTTGATGTATATGTTACTAAAAACACCACCTGTACCGGGGGGAAACAACAATAACAAGGTATTCGACGTGAGTGGAATTGATATTGAAAATTCTCTCCAAATAAACATCAGACTAGTAACCAACGCAAGTTCTGAGGTTATTGTGTCAGCGTATCCAATAATTGTCAGTCGTTCTCCTTCTGCTAAACTTTAGAATTATTAAATCAAGAAATGTATTATAATTATATTTCAAATTTATATTACTCGTAGTGAAATATTACACATCGATATATGGATTATATGTATACTTGAATACATGGTGTTTAATTAAATAAAATACATTATTTTTCATGTCTTTTTTCTCTCCACATTTTTTAGATACTTTAATATGTCATATATATTCACTATAAAGAGAATGAGTTGTATACAATCATGGATTTGTGTTGCAATATTGTAACAAACCATCTTTAGTTACGGGAGGCAAGCTTAGTGTTGATATCGATATTTCAAGAGTTAACCGTATACTCAATAATCATTTGTGGCATTCAATTAATAAAAAAATCTTTTTATTGGTTTAATGATATTCATTTTGCAAAAGAAATGCAGAATAAAATATATATTCATAAAGTTATTGATAGGTTTTCAAAACGAATCTAATTTAATTATGTTGTAATTTTTTTCATCCCATTATTTTCGAGACACACTGTATATTACATGTATTAAATTAATCATTACAATTTATATATAATGGTAATGCTATATGATTGGCTGTCTTTAGCTTGTATATACTATATGTATTTATGCAAAGTTATCGTATATCTTTAAAAATAAGCTATCTTTTTTTGCACAATTTTAAACTTGAAAACTTTCCTGTAAAAAAAATTTTTGAACATATCAGGCAAAAATCCAGTTTTTTGTATTGATCTATTTTTTATCCAGAATATTTTCCGGATAAAAAATGGATCAATACAAAAAATCTGGTTTTACTTTAGCAAAAATTCATTTTTATTACCAGAGTAAAAATGATTTTTAAAAGATCTGACATACTTCCATTTTTTTTTACTGAATAAAAAATAAATTTATACAAAAAATCCAGTTTTACTTTAGCAAAAATCCATTTTTATTGCTGGAGTAAAAACAGTTTTTAAAAAATCCAATATACTTTTGTTTTTTTTACTGTATAAAAAATGAATCTATATAAGAAACCTGGTTTTACTTTAGCAAAAATCCATTTTTTAGAAGATTCGACATAGTTTCATTTTTTATCCAGTAAAAAAAATGAAACTATGTCAGATCTTTACCATTTTTACTCTGGCAATAAAAACAGATTTTTACTTTTATTTATCAGTATATATTATATAATCTTCCTAATCTATTATATAATTTCTATTTTTGATGATTGAAAAAAAATTGATAAATCTAGTTATAGCATTAATATTAATAATTTCAGAATGATCAAGATCACGAAAAATAAGTGGATCATAACCGGAAGCTACTGATATAGTAATCCACTACACCAAAGCTAATAATGTTCATTCATTTTTATTCTTTATATATTTATATGCAAAATAGTATTTTACTTCTCTATAAAATTCCTGTTCTTTTAAATAAATAGATACATTTTTGTTCTAGATATTTTTATTAATTAATAGTGTTGCCTGAAAAAATAGAGTAATTATTAGTATTTGCCTGAAAAGAAAATTAACATGTTATATACATACTGTTACAAGTTTGTTCACTAATCGTTAAATTAGCTTACAAACGAGAACCTGGATTGGGAGAGGATATAAACTGATAA